CTATGCCCAGCCACAGCAGGTACTCTACGTTTAGTGAACTGTAAATGTCGCCTGAGTTCCTACAGCTTTGGGTTTAAATTCTGCATTAGTCCAGATGACTGTCAGCTCTCACCAGGACCAGAGAAGAAGCCTCCCCCCGAGTATGGCTGCCCCCAGACCTTCCTCCTTCTGGATGTCTTTCTCAAACTGCAAAGCTGGTCATGTCCCATTAACTAAAGGATCAGCTCCAGATTACTCACCATGGCATTCCAGGCTCTGAAGAGCTGAGCCCCACTCTCTCTCCACCTTTACCTTCCTCCCCTCTGACTCTCATACCCACGCTAGCCCACTTGCTTTATTCTTTCACCACATTGCTATGATTTACTTAGCAGTTACATTGCTTTGATCATGCTGCTCATCTGCCTGGAATGTCTGTCCCCTTCTTCTCTGCCTGGTGAGCTCCTATCTCCCCTACAAAGGTCAGCTCTCCTTCTCTGTGAAGTCTATTTCCTCCCACCAGACCTCTAGCCCCTCAAAGACATGGACAACTTAATGCATGTTGGTGTTGGCTGCCCCTCACCCCTGTATTCTAATTAGCTGATTCTATTTCCTTATATTTATATCTCCCCATTTGTTGAAACTTGCCAGGGATCCGGCACAGAGAGCCAGGAGAGGAGGCTGAGGGCAGGACAGGCATGAGCATCACAGGCGAGGTTGGCCCAGGCACCAGTGAGACCACACAGGATCCAGGGAGCTTCGCCACTTGAGTGTCTCCCTGGTTTGCAATATGCTTTCCTCTCTTCCCTTACTGGAGTCAACCTGTGCTGGCTCTACCAGCCTGCATCTCTGAAACACACACACACACACACACACACACACACACACACTCCTGCACTCATGCAGAGACCCGCCCAATGCCACAAATACCAATCCTCAATCCTGAAAACAATGCCTTCACATGTGTTCCATGTCAGTCACGGTGCCAGGTCTCCAGGTCTCCCCCAACACACACACACACACACACACACGCGATCCCACTGTGTTCTCCCAATCGGCCGTACAAGGCTCAGAGCTGGGGGACAGATGGGGAGACTCCTTCTGCCAAGGTCACAGAAGTGGGACATGAAGGAGCAGGGATTTGAATCTGGGCCTGGAGGTCACTACAATATGTGCCATTTCCAGTCCCCCTCACTGCCTCCACAGCATGTGAACACATGAATCTATCAACAGTTACTCATTAATACCCAGCAATATTCCCTCCTCCCCTCCCCCCACCACCGTCACTCCCATCAGCCTGCCCACCACCCCAGAGCCACCTCTGGTTAAGAGGGGAGGGCAGGAAGGATGCTCCCCTCCACACCCCTACCATCCATCCCTCTGCTGTCCCCCAGGGTCTAGCCTCCTCACTGGGAGAAGGATTATGATGGCAGTGGTGACATGGGTGGCTTTGGCCCCAAGGATTTCTCCTGGTGACCTCTGCTCAGGGAATTGCACAGACAGAGGCAAGTTGACTGTAAACTGCCTGCTAAATGACTACAAACCAGCCCAGACCGCTCCAGCACTGAACAGAATGACAGCCTAGGGCTGGCCTGTGGAGGGGGCAGGGCTGGGGAGAGCCTGCCCAGGCTCTGGGAGCCTTCCCCCTCCTTCCCTGAAGCCCTGAACATAGTCACCAGGTGGGAGGAGAGGAGGTGTGGGTGTTGCTGGGGTCTGCTTGGGCCTGGAGCCCTAGATGTTAGGTCCAGCAGGACCCCGAGATATACCCACTTCCCCACCACTCCTCCTAACTCACACATTGTACAAATGAGGAAACTGAGGCTCAGAGAGGAAAGGGGCGTGAGCAAAGTCTTCCAGGCAGTTAGAGACAGAGTCCAAGTTAGAGTCCCTATTTCCCTCCTTTACTCCGGGGTCTGTACCTGACCAGCTATGTGACCTTGGAAGTCACTTAGGCTCTCTAGACATTGAAGGTTTACAACTCCTACCATTCCATTCCACAGAGCTGATGGAAGGACCAACATCAGTAACAGTGGTATCCTTTCATCTATATATAACACCTTACAGTTTACAAAATATTCCTATATCTCACCTCTTCTCTGATCTTTAAAATGACCCTGTGAAGCTCTGTGCAAAATAGTGGCTGGGGTCACATTTGCAGATGAAAAAAATGAGGCTCAAAAAGACAAAGCTCATAGAGAGTTTGGAACAGGACTCGAACTAGAACCCAGGACTCCAAAACCAGTGCTCTTCCCATCACTAAATTACACATAGGCTAGGAATACATGAAGACTCTAAAGGATACTGCCCAGTGCATGCCACCAAGGTTAGACCCGACCTACCCCAGAGCTCTCAGCAGCTCTGGGACCCAGAGGTAGAAGACCCAAGATGACAGATGATGTGTAAGGCACACGCATCTGAGCTCCAATCCAAACCTTGCTTGTTAGCTTGGGGCCTCTCCTTCTGGACCTCAGAAAGGCTCAGAATGTGGCACTACAGAAGGCACCAAAAGGCTCAGGATGAGGGCTGAACTGCACCCTGAATATAGGAGTGCCGGCCAGGTGCTCAGCGTTCATTAGCTTCTGTTTTCAGCACATGAATGGCATGCTGAACTTTACTGTGTCTACACCATAGCTTCTGGTTCAGAGCTCCAGATCCAGGGCCTTCTGATCAACCCTTAGGCTAAAGGAGGAAGGGAGGGAGGGATGGGCATGTGGATGGATAAATGGGTGGGTGGGTATATGAATGGATGGATGGATAAGTGGGTGTGTGGATGGATAAATGGGTGGGTGGGTATGTGAATGGATGGATGGGTGGATGGGTGTGTGGATGGATGGGTGGGTGGGTGGGGGGATGGATTGATGGATGGGTGGACATGAGGATGGATAAATGGGTGGGTGGGTGAGTGTGTGAATGGATGGATGGATGGATGGATGGATGGATGGATGGATGGATGGATGAATGGGATGGATGCAGGAGAGCAGACAAGACCAAGTCAAAATGAGAAGAATGAAAAGACAACTGAAGGATGGAGTGTGTGAGTCATGGCATAAAGGCACAGTGTCCAGCCCTCCTGTCCCCAGGTGAGCCAGCCACACCCAGCCCCACCACCACCTACCTTGGGGTAGCACTGGCACATGCTCCAGATGATGCCCCCAATCACCATGATGCTGCCCATGGCATAGAAGGTGCCATAGACCTGGGGCCGATCATGGCTCATGAGGAACGTACCGAGGGCCAGCAGGAAAAGCCCCAGCACGATGAAGCCGATGCGGAAGGTCTTCTCATCAGCCATGGCTGCCTGGCCAGGCCCTGGCCTGCACACCCCTGGCAGAGGGGTGGCTGCAGTTCAGCCTAAACACCCACACAGGCTCACACAAGGAGAGAAGACACTCTGAAATCACTACAACTCAAAGCTTCAGGGGAGAGCAAGATCTCTCTCAGTCCAGCTCTGGTCCCTGGGCCCACCAATTCAACAGGGCTAGAGGTGGCTCGCTTCAACAGACCCACACACCCACCCAGCCACCTTTACTCCTCGCCCTCTCACCTTCCCTCTGGGCCCGGCAGGTCTGGAGCGTGTGTGAATCTGAGTGAGGGAGCACACAGGGGAGGGAGAGTGGGAGGTTATGGGGGCTGGGCCCCAGCCAAGGCTTTGACATCACCTCATTTGCCTACCATGGGGCTGAGCTGGGTGGACAGGCGGCCCCACACCTTCCAGCTCTGGGAAGCAGGGTACAGTTCTGCAGCCAAGAGAGGTTAGAATGTTGCTGTTAGAGGATTCCAGGGTCCCACAGGCTGGCATTTCAGAATCCTGAAGAATTCTACACTCTTCCAGCACATGTGCCTAGCCGGGGTTCAGGCATGATGACCCATATTTACTGGCAGGCGACTTTGTGCATGGCACCATTCTAAACATGTTACAGCTATTAACTCATTGAAGGGAACCCCATGAGGCAGCGACTAGTATCGCCCCTCCACAGAGGACTCTGGGGCACAGACAAGTTACCTGCACAAAGTCACACAGCTAGAGATGGCAGAGCTAGTGGGATGTGAACCCAGAGGCCGTGGGCCTCACCACAGCATGATACTGCTTAACTGCAGCATCTGAACAGTGCGGCTCTGTTGGCGAGGCAGGCTTCCTGGTCTGGATTCTGGCTCCTCTCCTGTGGGACAGCGTGGTCATGATCAGGTTATATATCACCTCTCTCTCTCTCTCTCTCTCTCTCTCTCTCTCTCTCTTTTTTTTTTTTTTTTTTTTTGAGACAGATTCTCATACTGTCACTCAGGCTGGAGTGCAATGGCGTGATCTCAGCTTACTGCAACCTCCGCCTCCTGGGTTTCACTATATTGGCCAGGCTGGTCTCTAACACCTGATCTCAGGTTATCCACCCACCTCGGCCTCCCAAAGTGCTGGGATTACAGGCATGAGCCACTGCACCCGGCCTTCTCTTATCTTTATAATGACCCTGTGAGGCTCTGTGCAAAATAGGGGCTGTGGTCTCATTTACAGATGAAAAAAATGAGGCTCAGAAAGACAAAGGTCATAGAGTTTGGAACAGGACTTGAACTAGAATCCAGGACTCCCAAACCAGTGCTCTTCCCATCACTAAATTACACATACAGCGAGGAATACATGAAAACTCTAAAGGATACCTTTAGATGCCTGTACCTCAGTTTCCTCCTCTGTAAAATGGGAATCATAATGGTACCTTCCAGTACCAGGCTGTCTCCAGGCCTGGCCTCCCTAGGTTCCTCTGTCCCCTTCACATTCACACGCTGTCCACCACCCGGGTCTGCTTTCAGTGAGCTGCTTCCCACCCACCTTTAGGGCTCTGGGAATTAATGACCCTGCAGGGTGTAAGTGACCATGACAGCCACTTTCTCCAGTTCCTTGTTGCCTGATCTAGGAAGACGCCTTCCTAAGAATACCACTAATAAGGCGTTTTAGTCCTGGGGACAGGCTGATGGAAGAAATCGGATTCCTTTACAGGATTACAGGAAAATGAAGACCATCAGACTCTACAGGAAAGCGTTCACTTGGCGTTTATATGGGGTTAAATCGCCGATGCAGGATAAAAGGCCTTCACTTGGCTCACTGACTTGCGGGGTTTGGGGATTGCCTGGTGGCATCAGCTCCTGCTCCCTCCGGCCAGCAGGGCGGCGCGCTTCCCTAGCCCCACACCTGCGCTCACAGCTGCCCCTCTTACTGGGCGTCCTTCCCACAGGCTTTTTCCAAGAGGGGTTTCTCCTTCCTCGCACCCGCCATGGCCAGCCCTCAGAGTGGACTTTACACTGTAAGGTTTACACTGTACAGAGGGTGCACTTAACGGTTTGCAGAGGAGGTCCAGGAGGGAGCTCAGGGGCCCTGGCTGAGCGATAGCTGAGGGGCAGGAAACGGCTGAGTGATCAGGCCATGGCCAGGACTGGTTCTCAACCCTGCTCCGGGCTTGAGTTTTGTCACCTGAAGATCAGGGATAGTTATTAAGCCGCCTCCCAGGTTTTGCACAGGGAAGGGACATAAAGGGGCTGGGAAGGGACAAGTGCTTTGTAATCTGTGACTATTAACAAAGCAAGACCCTCTAGGGAAATGTTATTATCATCTGCTACAGGCTCAGAGAAGGGAAACGGCGAGTCCCGTGTCACCTAGTCAGTGCCCCTCCCTGGCAAGGAGACGGAGGCCCCAGGGACCTCAGCCCTGGAGCCCAGGCGGGCGGCGGGAACGGTCTCCACAGCCGCGGTCCTGCAGGGCCTCGTGCGCCCCCCGGCGGCCGTCGTAGCTCGCGCTGGGCAAGGCCCCTCCCCCGGGGGCGGCGGCTGGGCTCGGACCGGTGAAGAGCAGTCGCCGCGGGGAGGAGGGTCATCGACCCCGTTTCACAGGCGAGGAAACCGAGCCCGCAGAGTGGCAGGGCCTGGTCAAAGTCTCCCTCCGCGGAGTCGGCGACCGAGCCGTCACGGGACCCGCTCCCAGCCCCATGTAGATGATCTGGTCTTCAGCCATTCCTCAGAGGCCTCGCGGTCACCCGGGTACTCTCCTCCTCTAGCGCCTTTTCTTTCCTTTACAGCCTTCCTTGCCCCCTTTCTCTCGGAGTCGCTTCTCCACTTTAAAAAAAAAAAGTAACAACGAGTAAGAAAGTAACAAGTAGGAAACAGGCGCGCAGGAAAATGGGTCTCACCTAAGCTCTTCCACAGAGGCTGGAGATTAAATGAGGACATATGTGTAGGCTGCACTGGAAAAGTTCAGGTGCAGCAGCTCCCCTTCATCTCCTGCAGTCCGCTCCCTCTGACTTCACCTCCCCGGGCCAAGTAGGGACGAGGGGAGCAGAGCGCGCGGAGCCTGTCGTCCTCCGGCAGAGGGCGCGCTAACCCCTGCTCTCAGGATCCTCCGAGCGGGCTCCCCAGACGCCCTGAGGCAGGGAGGGAAAGAGCACCCCATTTAACAGAAGTAGACACCCCGGCCTGTGCAGCCAAGGCGAGCGACCCAACGTGGCAGAACCTGGGAACAAACAGTAGAGCTAGAAGTCTACCCAGGTCCTCAGGATCTCTGGTTGAGCCCCTACTCTGTGGGGGACACTGAGGTGTTAGGAACTCGTAAACAGAGGGCTTCAAGGATAAATGGTGCTCAGTCCTAACTTCTGGGGCACAATATGGTAATGGCACTGTGATGCGTGCAAGGTACCGAATGTGCACAAAACAGAGGGAGGAACAGATGGGGATGAAGGGTGAAGGGGCAGATTCACAGAAGGGGCTCTTGAGAAGGCAGAGTCTGGACAGGGCAGGAAAAGCCTTCCAGGCACAGAGGCCAGCATGTGCAAAGGCACTGAGGCACGATGTAACCGCCCACAGGGCTGGAGAGAAAGCTCTAAGCCCTGTTCACAGGCTGCCCGCATTGCCTCCTCCTCCCCAGACATGCCCCTCCCACAACCCCATCCTTCCAGTTAGCCATCCAGGGAACCAACCTCACCTCCTTTCTCACACCCACATCCTGTGGGCTCTACCCCCAAGATATAAGAATCCAATCATTTCTCACCCCCACAACTGCTCGTCGCTGGATCTGAGCCTCCATCGTCTGTTTCTCTCCCCACTTGGTCTCTGCTTCCATCCTTGACATCTGAAGTCTCTTTGCAACCCCACTACTGGATCAGATCCTGTCTCTCTTCTGCATGGAGCTCTGGAATGGCTCCTTATCTCATCAGAGTAAAAGCCAAATGCTTTAAGATGACCTGAAAGGCTCTGGATAACTGGCCCATGCTACCTGCACACCAATCCTCTCAGCTCACTTCCTGCCATGCCCCCTCTCACTCACCCACTCCACCACCCTGGCCCCATGCTGCTCCTGGAACACATAGGCACCCCAGGGCCCCGCAACTGCTGTTCCTTCAGCCTGGAGGGCTGTTCTTCCAAATAGCTGCATAGCTCCCTCCCTTCCCTCCTTCAGGCCTTTGTCCAAATGTCACCGTCACAGTGAGGTCTTCCCTGATCCTGCTCTAAAACTGCAGACTCCCCTCCCCAGGGGTTCCCTGTATGCCTTTCCCCATGTTTCTCCGTGGCACTCTCAGCCACCTATCCTACATATACATGACGATCTTGTCTCTTGTCTCTGTCTCTCCCAACTAGAACTCCAGCCCCCACCGGGTAGGGACTTTGTTTTGAGCACTGCTCTGTCCCTAAGGGCTGGGACAGAGTAGGCTCTGGATGTGGGTGTGAACTGAGGAATGGAATCTGCGTGCCTGGGAGAGGGAGGCTGGAGAGGAAATGCAAGCAGGAAACCTCCTGGGGCTAAGGTCTCCGACATTTTTCACAGAGGTTAGATGAGGTTGCAGGGGAAAGACCAAAACCAGATTTTAATTTTTCAATGAGAGAGAGAAAGATCCCAGTGAGCAGTAATGAGGCATTGAGAGGGGAGCATAGGGATTTCTGACTGGGGTGAGCTGATTTAAGGTGGAGAGCTCCAGGTGTGGAAATCACCAGCCCACCCTGCAGGTAACAGAAGCCCGGGAGGGACCCAAGGAAAGCGTGGGAGAGCCTGAACTCTGAGGATCCCTATCATCTGAGACTCTGGTGGCCAGCAAAAGATGTGGTCTGAATAGAAGGTGAAGAAACTGGATGGTCCAGGAGGAAAGAAGCCAGCAAGCAAACTGGGGGCTGCAGAGTGGCAGAGCTGGGGCACCTCCTGTGGCTGCAGAGTGGCAGAACTGGGGCACCTCCTGTGGCTGCAGAGTGGCAGAGCTGGCCCTCATGTGGCTCCATGGTCAGGCACCTTGCCGTGGGCACAAGGAGCCCGTTCACAGCGAGAGTGCTTCAGCTTGGAAGGGGACAGTAACATGGCTTGGTCAGGAGACTGTCTCCCTCTGCAGCCCTGACTCAGCCTCTTCCATGACGCTGGTGACCTTGAGCGAGTCATGGACCCTCCTGCGGGCTTCTTGTTCAGACACAGATGAGTGGATTGGAGAGAAAGGCAGGAAAGGTCTCTCTGTGCCTCCGGCCCTCCCCGCCCTCGTCCCTTTAGGACCTGCCCAGTAAAGTGGTGCCTCCTGGTCATACTGGCCACTCATTAACTCACCTAACCTGCCTGTCGTGTGTGTGTGTGTGTGTGTGTGTGTGTGTGTGTGTGTGTGTGTGTGTCCAGCCTAAGGTCACTTCACGCCTACACCTCCAGACTCCTAGATTGTCCTGAGTTAATGCCAAGAAGGGGAGGGTGAAGCAGTGACTGTAGAGGGAGGACAGGAAGGGTTGGGGGGTCACAGGAGGGATCCAGGTTTTGGTGATGGAGGAGGGAGAGGGTCAGAAAAGAGCCCCAGTTTCTGAGGAGCCAGCCCCCAGGAAGGATTTCAGGAGAGAGGGAACAGCCAGTGCGAGGGCCTCAGTGAAACTGGCTGGAGCAGAGAACAGGAGGGGAGGAGTGGCAGGAGATGAGAGGGTCAGGAGAGAGGGCAGGCTCAGACCAGACCTCAGAGCCCCCCTCTCCCAGACCAGTGTCTGGGCTTTCATTATTCAAAGTAAGCTGGGAGCCACACCAGGTTCTAGCTGTGAGGGGAGGGGGTCATGATCTGACCGGGGTCTGAACACCTCACTCTGCCTGCTGGGCAGAGAAGAGACTGCAGGAGCCTCAGGGAGAAGCAGAGAGACCAAGACCAGATTACATGGTGGCTACTGTGACAATGACGTAGCCTAGGAGGGAGGACCCCACGCCTCCGGCTGTGACTTTATTGTCTGAGATTTTTACCTCTCCGAGGCTAGTTCCTCACCTGTTAAATGCTGACACCACCACTTGTCGCAGGGCACTTTGAAGATGACACATCGGCAGAGGACCTGGCCCAGTGCACAGTAGGCTCTGCAGATGACACCCTTCTCCAGCTGACTAAGCCCCAGGCCTTTGGACCCTGCTGGCAGTGTGACCCTGGGAAGGTGACTTCACCTCTTTTCATGGAAGTGGGGTGGGCTAGAGACGGGCTGCAGAACGGAGCTGGTCAGAAGTCGATGATGTTTCTGTCATATCTGCAAAGTGAGCAAAAGTTGTGAGCTTCCCGTCACAGGAGGTATGGGAGCAGAGGCCAAATTTGCACTTGGTGGAGGAGGGTCACCTCTACTAATAGAACTGACAATGACTGCATACTTACTACCTGGCTCAGGGCTGAGACCCCTGCCTTTATTATCTTGTGCCGTACACAGAGCCACTGACTGCAGTCTCAGTGTGAATTCACACTCACACGTCAGTTGCTATCATTTCATTGATTCTTCACAAATCAGCTCTTTGAGGGAATCCTCAATTCCCATTTTACAGATGAGGAGACTGAAGCAGAGAGAGGGAAAGTCACTTGTCCAAGTCACTAAGATGGTACATGGTAGACCAGGCACAGTGGCTTACGTCCATAATCCTAACACTTCAGGAGGCTGGAAGTTCAGACGGGCCTGGGCAACACAGCAAGCTCCCTCTCTACAACAAATTTTCAAAAATGAGTTGGGCATGCTTGTGTTTCCAGCTACTTGGGAGGCTGAGGTGGGAGGATCGCTTGAGCCTGGGAGGAAGAGGCTGCAGCGAGTCATGATTGAGCCACTGCACTCCAGCCTGGGTAACACAGTGGAGACCCTGTCTCAAGAAAGAAAGGTGCGTGGTGGAGCCTATGCATAGGTGGTTGGATTCAGAGCCATGCTCTTCTGGTTAGAAATGTGATGTGTGCACAGCTCTGTCTTTGCCACGGGCCCGCTTTCTCACCTGTACAGTCTCCCAGCTACAGCCAGCGCTCACTGCTGGCCAGAGGAGTGCCACCCTGAACGTTCTGGCCAGTTGGGCCCCTGAGGACTGCAGCCCCACCCATGCCACAGAGGGCAGAACGCCCCCAGCTGGGCCTAAGCAATTCATAGAGTCCTGAGACATCATAAAATGGGATTTATTTTAAGTCACCAAATTGTGGGTGGCTTGTTATACAGGAATAGATAAATAGAACAGGCTTCGAACGAACATTTGTTGAGTGCACTCTGTGTCCCAGGCACTGCACAAGGCTCTGGAGAGGCACAACACTTTTGTCTCTGGATTCAGGGCCCTCTAGGATTCTTTAACTTCCTCCCGCTGCAGTCTGAGCCAGGCCTGAGCAGGTGCGTTCGGCACTTGGTGTTGTCTCTGCAGAAATGGCATCAAGAGCAAGGTTGATGCTCTCATAGCTGGGAGGAGGCCAGGGGGGCTGGGTGCCCAGCAGGGCATCCCCCGAGGCACGTGGCTCTGGGGCTTCCTCTGTAGGGTATGCAGGTGGCACTGGGGGCCCTTCAGCCAGTGGGCAGCTCACGGCTTCCTCATAAGTGGGGATGACAACCACCTTGGGGGTCCTGTGGAAACAGAAGAGAGGCTGTTAGCAGGGGCTGGGGCAGAGCTGCTGCCTGCCAGGGAGACAGTGAGGAAGGCTGGGGGCAGAAAGGCTTCACACCCTGCTCCAAGACTTTGTGGGTCCCCAGGGGCCCATATACATAGTTGAAACTTGGCAGGAGCCAGCTCCTGCGGCCCTCAGTCTTCCCACCACCCCCTCCCTGCTCCATAGAGTTAGTTCCCTGTATGTGTCCCCAAAACCTCCTTGTGCCTCCTCAGTTCTCTCTGCAGGCAAAGCCTTACCCTAGGGCAGTGACTGAGAGTACAGGGGCTGAGGGGTGTTTGTTGAAAGACTGAGTGATGGTCCATGGACAGAAAGACTCCCACCTATTAAAATATCCTTTACAAGATCAGAATTGGGGTGCTCAGGGCAGAATGAGAGACCTCAATTCTTCTGCCCATCTGGATGCTTTACACTTTGATATGATTGATGTTTGCCAAGTGATTATCTCTGCTTGCATACCTCCAGGGATGAAGAGCTTACCACTCGCCAGATCAACCACTTCTACTGCTGGACAGTTTTGCTGTCCTGTGACTCTATTTTTATCCCCACTTCTGGCCAACTAAACCACCCCACAGGGGCTTGAGGCAGAGACCAGGTCCTCTGAGGCTCGCTGACCGAGGTTCTGCAGGCCAGACCCCGAGGCAGATCACCCACGCCCCAGCCAGTTGATAGGAATGAGACTGGCCGTCGGCGCCCTCAGAGCCCTAGTGGGTCACCTCCGGGAATTCAATGCCCCTTCCCCACCTGGGACACACAGTGGGGAGTGGGGTGGGAATGTCACTGATCCTAGATGTGGGCTGCTCCTGCTTTGGGGGTAATTCTGAAGGTCCCTTCCAACACTGAGGGTGGTTGTGAGTCTGGGCACTGACTGGTTCACTTTCCTTCTCAGCCACGTTCCTACTGGGAGATCAGGGAGTCAGCGATCAGTAATTCCATTCATGGGGGCCTGGTTTCATCTGTAAAATGGGGGACAATAGTGGTACCTGCCTTACAGACAGAGGGCAGGTTAAATGAGTTCATGCAGGGTGGCACTCAATGCCAGTGATGTAAGTGGGGTCGTGAACAGAATCTCAAGGGGCTCCTGTGGGGAATGGGTGGGGAAGCAAAGCTTATCCCAGGCCTCAGGCATGGCAGGCCCCACAGGCTCAGAGAGGCCGAGTCACTTGCCAGTCTCGTGGGTTTGGAGCTGCTGGGAAGCAGTTTAATCCACATTGTGGTCCTACTGCCTAGACCAAGGAGGGGCCAATGGCAAGAGGCCAGTTTAGGGAACAGAAGAGGCAGTAGATGGGACTTAGCTCCAGGGTTGACGGAGGAGCCCCTGCTGGGAACCTACTGCTGCCCCGCAGGCGAACACCCAGCACCCACCGGGGACGTGGCCTTTCTCCAGCAACGTGTCTTCTCAGCCTCACAGCAGCCTGCTGAGCCTCACTGCTCCCAGCCACAGACCAGGGTGATGGAGCAGATTGATGGGATCCTGGATTTGAAACCCAGCCTGTAAGTCAGTACAGGGTAGGGCACCAGCCAAGGGTCCCAAACATGAAACTCCCTGTCCAGTGCTCCTGTGAACTCTCAGACCTTCCTTCCTTCTCTGGAAGACAGCCCAGGAAGCTGAGAGGTGCCTGTCCTCACCCTCCTCTGAGCTCCCAGCATCCTTGCAGATGAGGGCAGGACAGAGAATATTGCTCCCGGAGGCAGGCAAATTGAGTTCTATTGCTGTGTGACCTGGACCACATTCATACCTTCTCTGAACCTCTTTCTCCTGATCTGTAAAATGGGGATAATAATTCCCTTTTCAGATTCAGGGGAAGAAAAACGGGGGAAAAAAATGTTTCACAACAATCAGAAAAGTGTGAGTAATTAGCTCCCAAAGCCCCATCTCCTGACTGCTCACCTCCCGGCCATGCCCCGGCCATGCCCCGGCCACACTTGGAGCGCTGTACACCTGAGACAGGCTTTGGATAGGCCACCCCAGCAGGTGACAGCTGGCAGGGCAGGGCACAGGTGCCCATGAGATCTGCTCACAGCAGGAAGTTTGCTTACAGGACAGATGTGAAGCAGCCTTGACACCGCCTCTATCACCTTAGTGGTCAGTTGGGCCGGCCCAGCTCCAAGTCACCAAGGTCACCAGGAACTCAGCGAGCAGGGCAGCCACGTGGCACTCCTCTGGGAGCAGGTCCCCATTCTCGGTGCCTTTGGATGTGGCACCTCTGCAGCTGCATGGGGCCACGGTGGTCTCCCCACATAGGAAGTGCCACGGAGGCCAGGGCTCACCCCACTCTTTGGAGCCTGCTTGGGGCAGGAGACCTGGGCCTGGTGCCAGCTCCACCACCCTTCAGCGGAGTCAGGCAAAGCAGGAGTGGGACAAGGGATGGAATACAATTTGCCTGACACTTAAGTGCTGGAATCTTCTTATTCACCACCTCTAGCTGGGGGGTAGAGGCCCGCACCCATTTTACAGATAAGTAAAGGTCACGTGTCAACTCAGTGGCAAAGCCCCAGCTTTGTCTAACTGCAAAGCTGAAGCTAAGTCCACCTGTCACACCTCTCCCCCAGGCCACCTCATCTCTCCTCACCTCAGTTTTCTCAGCTGTCAAATGGACCCAGTTCTTACACTGACCTCATAAGCAGTTGAGGCTCAAATAAACTAGTGGGCACGAGAGCTCACTGTAAACTAAAACAGGAAGGGCAGAGAAAGTGGATGTGTGCACCAGCTACAGAGTGCACGCTTCCCTAACTCTACCCCATATGAGCCCGACAGCGACCACAGGGGAAAGGTCTGTCACCTCCGCTGAGAGATGGGGCATCAGACACATCTCAGAAGGTCTAAGTAACATCCTCAAAGACTCCCACCCTATAAAAGAAAGGGCAGGGACTGCTGGAAGCCCCATTCCAGCTGTGTCATTAAGGGGACTTACACTGAAGAGATGAGCTTCCTGAGGGCAGGGTTTTGTCTGTGTTGCCGCTGTGGTACTGTCAGTTCTCTGAGTAGGACCCAGCATACCTACATGTGCTCAATCAATATTAGGTACATGCATGAAAGAATAAGTAGATGAATACATGGGGAAACTGAGGTCCAAGAGGGAGAGGGACCTGTCAGAGCCATCTGCCCAGGAAGGCTTTGCTTCTGACCTGAAGTTGTCCAGGACCAGGAATAGTAGAGCAGCCACCCATGGGGGCAGACGCTGGGCTCTGCAGGCAGCTGGGCTGGGTCAGCCTCGGGACAGGAAAGAGCGTCGCAGCAGAAGCGGCCTCCTCGACCCCCAGTCACCCAGTTTCTGAGTCTACAACTTGGGTCTTGGAGCTTGATGGGCTAGGGGGCACTCTGTGGCCTCCTGGGTGGGCTTCCTCCCTGGCCCACTGAGAGTGAAGGCCAAGGAGCCCCACCTGCCAGACACAGCTGTGCCTAGACCCTGTTGCATCAACATAGCTGTGTGTACAGGCAACACACTCCCCCTGTACTCACACCTGGCTGGCTGGGAGGAGCAGGCTCTGGTCCAGAGCATCTGGGGCCCAGCCTGGTTCCAACTGACCACTAACTCACTGCATGACAAGGTAGGTCACGCGGTCTTTCTGAGACCCAAGTCTCTCATCTAAGTGAAGGGTTTGGCTGGAGAATCCCCAGGGCCCTGAAATATCTCACACTATGTAAATGCTGTGTAAATCGTTGTTATGCTATATTGTTTAGGGAATGATGACAAGAAACGAAAGTTTGTATATGTTAAGCACGGTCATAATTCTTTTCTCATGGATCCTGTCTGGATAGACCCAGCATACCTACGTGTGCTCGATCAATATTTGGTACGTGAGTGAAAGAATAAGTAGATGAATAAATGGGGAAGCCGAGGCCCAAGGGGAGAAGGGACCTGCCCAAGCCATCTGCCCAGGAAGGCTTTGCTTCCGACCTGAAGTAACCCACGGCAGGCACCACCAGAGACTGCCTCTTTCCACCGTGTCCGCTAGAGGAAAAGTTGAGATTTGCTGTGAACCTACTGTGTGCCACCCAGGATCCATGGTTGGTTGAATCATGGATGCAGACCCACAGACACAGAGGGCCGACTGTTCTGCACCATCTCCAGCTCTAAGAAGTCACAGGTTGGTGATGGGAATGTTCCTACATTCTTTAACTCAGAATGCATTTTCCCTCTTAACACAGGGAAGAAGAGTATCCAGGTCCCAGGTCCCAGGTCAGCTCATGGCAGTCTGGCTTAGCCCCTCACACCCAGGGATCCAGAGCTTAGAAGTGAGGTGGGAGGAAGAATGTCAGCTGTGTAGCCAGCAGGCTCCTGCCACTTTCAGGCTATGCCTCCCCTTCCTTTTCTGCAGACACAACAGTCATTCTTACCTCGGAGGCAATCGGAAGGACAGGAGATCATGTACACGGGCCCCTGGCACATAGGCACACTCCATACTTTGTTGAATAAGTAAGAACATAAAAGGGTATGTATAATGCATGCATTCTCAACAGGACAAACACTGGTTCTTCGGAAGAGTTATACTCTTTATGTATAAGGCACAGATATGCATATAGAACATAAATATGCAGTGCATCTGGGTATTACAATTTCATGGAGGAGGATTTAGGAAAAAAAAGACTAAGAAGGATGACACGAGGCAGGGTGGGGAGACTGGTAAAAATCAAAGGTTGAGAGGTGCTGTCTTCATGCAACACTCTGTCCCCGACTGCACACTTTTGTGCACGCTCTTCCGCCTCCCTAAAATGCCTCGCTCCACCGTGTTCACCAGAGGAAAAGTTGACATTTGCTGTGCTTCTACTGTGTGCCAGGCACTGGGCTAAAGCTCAACGTACATATGTCATTTCATTTTCCCAAGTGTCACCTGAAGTAGGGAGTGGGCAGGAACAGACTCTGAGGCCAGACTGCCTGGGTTCAGGTCCTAGTTCTGACACACACTAGCTGATGTCCTTGGGGGAGTGACTTAGTGTCCCCATGCCTTCGTTTCCTCCTCTACAAATGGAATTCATAACAGTGCCTACCTTCAGAGGGCTGCTGTAGGATCCGATGAGTCAGTATGGAGGAGAACTTAGAACAGTGCCTGGCACATGGCGAGCACTGCAGAGGTGTTTGCTATTATTGCTGTTGCTATTAGTCCTACTTATTTCAAATGAGGAAATTAAAGCTTAGGGGGATTGCATGACCTACTCAAAACCCCACTGCTAGTTTGTGATAGAACCAGGACAGGGTCCCAGTGGATCTGACTCTGACTCTTGTGCCTGGGCTTTTAACCCTCTGCTATTCTGTCCCATACAAAGCTGGGTTCGGCTGCTGCCTCCTCCACGAAGCCTTCCTGGGTTTCTCCATGTCTTTAAAAGACAGGCCTCTCTCTCTCACAGCACTACCTACTCTGGTTGGTCATCATCAGCCTCTGTCATGGGGCTATAAACTCCTCCAGGGCTGTACTTATCAGCTTTCATGTACCCAGGCACAGAGCAAGGCCGGATCCAAAGGAGAAACACCATGAGAGTTTGCTGGGATTACAAATGCTGGCTGGTGTGACTGGCCCCTACTTGCGATCCCCACCCATTGCCCCACCCTGCCCTGCTGACCTGCAGCTCTCCTTCTCTGAGGACTCCACAGTGAGATAGTACAGGTCTCTGGAGAGGTGGTAGGGGTCCCATCGGGGTGGCCCCCGGGTGCTGGCCTTGACAGACCACAGCAGGCCAATGAGTAGCAGCAGGCCACCTGCGCCACAGCAGACGAAGCTGACCGACCTGAGCAGAGTGCTGGGGCCCTTGGGCACCGGGTAGTCCGTCGGTGGGGCCAGCTGGCCAGGCTGGGTGCTTGCATCCCCTTCGCTCCACCAAGCGAAGCACAGCGTCCCAGCCACCAGAACCACTGTGCCGCTGACCGTCATGCAATAGCGGAGGGTGGAGGCCACATGGCTCCCATCACACATCTGGACACAAAGAAGGAGAGAGAAGAGGAAATGGGCCATACAAAAGGTGCTGGAGGCCAGCTATTACTCCTCCTCTGCCTGAGGTCACTGCCAAACTTGGAGAAGTCACAGAACTCCTCTGGGCCTCAGTTTCCTCCTCTGTGAAGTGAAGATGATACCCTGACTTTGCCAGGCTATTTAGAAGATCAGAGATAGGCACGATCAGCACCAGGCCTGGGAAATCGCAGGAGCTCAGTAAGTAAGCTCACTTTCACTTTCACTCAGGGCCTCCTTCCAGGCCGGAGGGGCTCCGTCTGCCTGGCATATCTAAGACTCTACACCCTGACTACCGCACAGGGAGCTGGGACACAGGGAAGTGAACCCATGTGGGAACTTCTAGGCCTGCCAGGATCAGGGCTTGCTGGTTATGCATGCCTGGCTTCATCTGGTCACAATCTTGAGAGAAGGGCATTGTTATTGAACAGAGGAAGATACCAAGACCCAGAGCAAGTGAGAAAGAGGGGGCACTGAAGAGTCTGAAGCTGAAACTCACAACATGGAGCAAAACTTTGTGGAAAAGGATGTGTACCAGGCCCGACGCAGTGGCTCACGCCTGTAATCCCAGCACTTTGGGAGGCCAAGTTAGGCGGTCACCTGAGGTCAGGAGTTTGAGACCAGTCTGGCCAACATGGCAAAACCCCATCTCTACTAAAAATACAAAAATTAGCTGAGCGTGGTGGCGCGTACCTATAATCCCAGCTGCTTGGAGGCTGATGCAGGAGAATCATCTGAACCTGGGAAGTGGAGGTTGCAGTGAGCCAAGATCGCACCACTGCACTCCAACCTGGGCAACAGAGCAAGACTCTGTCACATACACACACATACACACACACACACACACACACACACAGATGTTCATCGTGGCCTTATTAATAATGGTCATAATTTGGAAAGTGCTAAAATGTGCAATTATAAAGAAATGGTGGGTAAACTATGGCATAATCTCTAGATTCAACACTAATATTAGCCTATTTTTTTTAAAACATCAAGCTCAGCACAAAGGTTTGACAAGAGGAGGAAACATCATATCTTACATTCTTCAACTCAGTATACTAAATCATGCATACAGTGCTGTGCGAGCGAACTATGCAGGGGGGAACCCTGGAAGGGTCCTGGCCCCGGGTCACAGACGTAGGAGGCTGAAACCTAGATCTGGGTTGTCCCCAAAGCCAATTTCTAGGCTGCCCATTGTACCTTCCATTCCCTGTACCTGTAACTTCCCATTAACTCCCCTCAAGGCTCAGCTCAGCCTCACCATGGAAGCCTTCTCTTAAGACACTTTAACTTGAAACCCTTGAGTACCCTGGTTCACCTTTGCCACAGCAGAAACCTGTCTAACTTCTGCTTCACTTGTCCCACTCCCCCATCTGTGAGTTCCCTGAGGGCAAGGTCCATCTTGGCCTTGTTCCCACTATATCCCCTCAGTGCTTAGCACATAATAGCTGCTCAATAAATCCTCTGCTCCAAGGGAAAGTGTTGCTGGATAAGTAAATGCTGGTTTGGTGACCAAACCTCACAGTTATGAAGAGCTGGGAGAGAGGAGGCAGTGCAGGATTCCAGCTGCCACAGCCACAGGGGCATGAAGGATAGTCCTGGCTTTGGTCCCCGCCTCTGCAGCTGTATCATGGGGTAAGCCTCTTACCTGCCCCAGGCCAGCTTCCTTGTTGAATAAAATGCAGGCTCTCTAGGGGGCTGCTAGGAGGATTTGCAGAAGCACTGTCTCCTCTTCCTGAAGCTAAGCCTGTGAAGCAGGGAGCGGGGCCACAGACCTTAAAGCGGTGCTTCGGTGATCAGAAATCCCTTCCAAGTGGGGCTTGCCCAGCCAAATGACAACAGATCCAAATGACACGCTGCTGTGTGGCGGCTCAAAGGCATGATCCCAAAGGGGCTGAAGGGCGTGGCGAATGTTCAAGATGTAGTAGATGAAGCTTTAGATTTCAAAAGGGCATGTTACCAGATGTGTTTAAAAACACGTGTGTGTGTGTGTGTGTGTGTGTGTGTGTGTGCAAGCGCGTGCGCGTATGAGAGAGAGAGAAAATGTATACAAAGCGGTGCTCTGGGAGTGGACCTCAATCTTTCTGAACCCCAAGACCTCTGGACACATATAGAGAATTCCATTTATAAATTATCTGCATTTCTCTTCCTGTGATTCTGTCTGGGGGGCAAGTGCCTCCTGTCTCCAGCTCAAAGCCTTTTCTTGGAGTGAGAAAAAAATTCTCACGACCCTGCCTCCATCCTCAAAGTCAAAGAGCTAGCAGAGGCTGTCGAGAGGAGAAACCTGTTTGTGGGAAAAAATTCAAAAAACAAGACACACAAGCAAATCAAGAACAGTAACCCCTGCCTGTATGTTACGGTACTCAATAGTCCCCTTCACACCCAGCATCATACCTGCCTCCCACGGGTGGGCAGGCCAGAGGAAAATTCCCATATTACAATTGAGAGTGAGCCCAAAAAGGTGATACAGCAGGGTTCTTGCCCAAAGCCAGATACAGCAGGGTTCTCAGCACTCAAGGAGCTCACAGCTAGGCACGCCTGCATGGGGCAACCTACACTGCTTTTTACTTTCTATCAAACAATAGTCTCTGCTCATTGTGGAAAAGAGAGAAAACCACAGAAGAGAATAAAAATGCAAAATACAGGCTGGGTGTGGTGGCTCATGTCTGTAATCCCAGCACTTTGGGAGGCCGAGGCGGGTGGACCACCTGATGTCAGCAGTTTGAGACCAGTCTGGGCAACATGGTGAAACCCCCTCTCTACTAGAAATACAAAAATTAGCTGGGTGTGGTGGTAGATGCCTGCAATCCCAGTTACTTGAGAGGCTGAGGCACAAGGATCACTTGAACCTGGGATGCGGAGGTTGCAGTGAGCCAAGATCATGCCACTGAACTCCAGCCTGGGCAACAGACTGAGACTCCCTCTCCAAAAAAAAAAAAAAAAAAAAAAGCAAAGTACAAATCACCACTAATCTTGGCTCTCAGAGACGAGCAGGATCCCCACGTGGCTGTTTCTCGTTCATTGCCCCCTGTCCTGCATACAGGATGATGACAGCAGCAGATGTGTGCTGTACATTTATTTTTTTATTTAAGAAAGAAGGAGAGAAAGAAAGAAAAAGGAATGAAAGAGAGGAAGACAGAGGAAGAAAAAGAGGGAGAGAGAACAGGAATGTTGTTTTATTCTAAAAATGGGTATTGAGAACTTCTTTTATGCCAATAATTGTGCTTAACAATGGCCGATCAATATTTCATTTAAACCTATGAGTAGGTGTGATGTGATACTGATAAGAATGTATTTTTGTGTATTTAAAGTGGAGAGCTCTATAAATGTTTATTAAGTTTACTTGTTCTGGATCTGAGTTCAAGTCTTGAATATTCTTATTAATTTTCTGAATTAATTTCCTGAATAATATCCTGAAGAGTATTTTCCAGCTTGGATTCATTCTCTTCGTCGTATTCAGGTACACCTACCAAACGTAAATTAGGTTTTTCCACATAGTCCCATATTTTTTGGAGACTTTGCTCATTCCTTTTTATCCTTTTTTCTCTATTCTTGTCTTCTCGTTTTATTTCATTAAGTTGGTCTTAGAGCTCTGATATCCTTTTTTCTGCTTGATCAATTCGGCTGTTAAAACTTGTGCATATTTCGAGAAGTTCTCGTGTTGTTTTTCAACTCTGTTAATTCACTTATATTCCTCTCTATATTGTCTTTTCTTGTTAGCATTTTGTCAAACCTTTTTTCAAAGTTCTTAGTTTCTTTACATTGGGTTAGAACAAGTTCTTTTAACTCCCAGAAGTTTCTTATCATCCACCTTCTGAAGCCTACTTCTGTTAATGGAACACAGTCCTTTTCTATCAGGGCTTGTTCCGTTGCTGATGAGGAACTGTAATCCCCGTAGAGGGAGAGGCGTTCTGATTTTGGGTATTCTCAGCCTTTTTAGGCTGGCTTTTTCCCTTCATTATAAATTTATCCATCTGTCGTCTTTACAATTACCGCCTTTCTAATAAGGTTCCTGAGTCGATGTCCAATTTATTGATTCCCAGCGCCAGAATCTGAGCAACCCACTGCGCCGGCCAAAACAGCGGTGTTAAGACTGATGGTGCTCTTCTGCCTGGGAATCTCCGGTCTGGCTTCCTTCTTAAGTCCGTAATAGGCGACTCTGACTTCCCAGAGCTCCAAACGTCGGTCAGAAGGGGAACCAGTCCCGTTTACTCTGCATGAAGAACTGCCTCGCTGAGGCGCCTGCAAAACTGCTGCACCAGCCACTCGAGTCGCGCTGGTGACCCGTGGGGCTCCTCCGCTGGAAATCTTCTGGTCTATGAGTGTCAGAAATTTGTCTGAAAGTGTGGCGTCCTCTCATTCTCTGCGCTTTCACTGGGAGCTACAATCCTGAGCTGTTAGGGATTAGCCAGCTTGGATCTCTCCTTGTGCTGTACATTAGGCTGGGCATTCACTGGACTGGGCACCATGCCAAGCACTTTACCGGTATCCCTTCACTTAATCCCCACAACAGCACTGGGTCCTAAAGACACTGTGGCCACTGGGGTGACAATTTGTCCACGATTGGTGACCACAATAGGGTGACAATTTGTCCACAAGGGTGACTGCTGGTCTTGGACCCAGGTCCAGTCTGAGTCAAATCCCTATGTGTATGCACAGCTAAGTCTATCAATATTTTTCATAAAGAAAATTTAGATTGTGCTATGAGTAGATGCACTTGTCTTTGGCATAGGAAGCTCCACTCTTTATTTTTATTATTATTATTTTTTTGAGATGGAGTCTTGCTCTGTTGCCCAGGCTGGAGTACAGTGGCACGATCTCGGCTCCCCACAACCTCCACCTCCCAGGGCCAAGAGATTCTCCTGCATCAGCCTCCTGAGTAGCTGAGATTACAGGCACCCACCACCATGCCTGGCTAATTTTTTGGTATTTTTAGTAGAGACGGGGTTTTACCATGTTGGCCAGGCTGGTCTCGAACTCCTGACCTCATGATTCACCCACCTCGGCCTACCAAAGTTTTGGGATTACAGGCGTGAGCCACCATGCCTGACCACTCTCAGTCTTTAGAATGCATGGCCCTTCTGCCCAGCTTAGCTCCTCCTGGGCCTCAGACCAGCTCCTGCAACTGCCCTTTGCATGTTTTCACAGGGGGTCAGCATCATTTTCTGTGTGGGTCTCACTCCTTTTATGTGAATCCCCCCCACCCCCAGCACGCAGGGCATATGCTAACCTGCCACCCTGGGGGAGGGTGGAGGTGGAGAAGGTCAATGTCCACTGGATGAAGGGCAGCCTGTTCCACCATGCAGTGGTTGTTTTCCTTATAGATCAGGGATGTCACTATCAGCAGGGTGTTCTCTCCCAAAGTCCTTTCACCTGGAGCCTCTGCTAGACCTGTGCTCCCTCCACCAGGAACACCCTCTGCTCCCATCCAGGGCCTTCATTTCACCCCTTCCCAGAAGCCTGTTGACTGCGGCTGCCCCCACCTCCCTCCAGCCAGAGGCGGGCTTTCCAGGAATCAGATGGCTCCACTGATCATTCCCTCTGACTACAGTGGTCATTCCCCATTAGCTCGGGGACCACGGGCAGGCTGCTCAGCATCTCCAAATTCAAATCCCTGCCTGCAAGGGGAAAGCAGTTTATGAAAATGCGATGGCAAGACAGCAGGCTGTTAGTGAGGCACGGGGACACAAGGCTGGACCGAGGATGCACCCTGCTCTGATTCTGGCAGGATCTTGCTTCTCCATGCCTTGGTACCCTCCTCTGGGAATGGGCACAATAACACCCATTGCTCCTGAGAATGAGAATATATTAAGATAAAATTTACTCTCATTAGGATCATTTTTATTTCCACAGCAGTGTTCAGTGCCTGTCCCTGCCCTTCCTCTTGCCCTATCTGCTCACCGGTGGCAGGGCCAGTCTGCATCTATTATCTGCCCCTGGCAAGGGGGCAGCATCTTCTGTAAAAGTCTAGTAGAAAGACCCTGCTCCTGTCAGGAGAGTTGGGAGGTCAGAGCCTCCCTCCTGTGTCCACTCTGGAACCGAGCCTGGGCGGAGCCTATGCCGTTCTCCATGCCCTGCCCCATACCAACTAGGGCACTTTTTTTTTTTTTTTTTTTTGAGAGCTCTGTCTCCCAGACTGGAGTGCGTCAGACAATCTCGACTCACTGCACCTTCTGCCTTCTGGGTTCAAGTGATTCTCCTGCCTCAGCTTCCTGAGCAGCTAGGATTATGGCGGAGGCCATCATGCCCGGCTAATTTTTGTGTTTTTAGTGGAGATAGGGTTTCGCCATCTTGCCTAGGCTTGTCTCGAACTCCTGACCTCAAGTGATCTGCAGCCTCGGCCTCCCAAAGTGCTGGGATTACAGGAGTTAGCCACCCCACCCGGCCCAATAAGGGCACGTTAGATGCCACTTTCTGTAAAGATGAAACCGTCCTAACAAGAATTTCCCAAACCACCCCCAACTGAGGCCCTGAGTGCCATGGCCCCAGACCACCCAGCAAGATAAAAACCAGGCGGAGCCCGGGGTGCCCACACTTTGCCCACCAAGCCACCATGGCCGAGGTTAGGGGAAGGGGTAGGGGCAGGGTCGGTGATAGAAGGGGCTGAGTGCCGCAAAGGAAAGAGAAGGCCGTTTCCACCCACCTGGGGCAGGGCCATCGCGCGGCTGATGGCAGGCGCTGTCCAGGCGCGCGGGGAGACGGGCGCGGGTGAAGGCGTGGTGGCGGGGAACGCCAGGGCAGAGCCGGCAGCTACCCTCGGGTCTGCAGAAGGCGGGGGCGTTAGGGGGAAGGCCCTGGCCGCCGCCCCCAGCCCTGCTCCTCAGCCCGCAAAAGTGAGGGCGGGCTCCCGGGCCCGTCCAGGCCTCACCAGCCGCGCCCTCTCGGCCGCCCTTGCCGGGTGCTCAGGGACCCGAGCCCGGCCTCACCCCCAGCGCCGGCTCCGAGGGCTGCGCGCTCCCCGCGGGGCTCTGCCGCTGCGGCAGGGCTCCCAGGGGCGCGCGGGACCCAGGCCTTCCCTCCACTCCGGTGGTGACCGCTCCCGCCGCACCTCTCCTGCACGTCCTCGCCTGCCGCCGGGTCCCGCCGAGACTCCGGGTGGCCCGGACTCCGGGCAGCTTCAGGTGTCTAGTGCTGTTGCCCAGCCGGCCTCGCCCGACCTTAAAGCGCCAGCGCGACTGGGCTGGCGGGGACTGGGGCTTCCCAGCGCTGCAGGGCCGGGGGAGCGACGGGGCTGCTGCTGCCCGGAACGCCTTGGCAAGGATCGGATCCCTGCGTCCTGGGGGCTGTCCCGCCACCGCGAGTGCTCCGGGGCGGGCTTGGGAATGGTGGAGGCAAACTCCTCGGAGTCATCGAAGCTCAGCCGGACAGGGCTTAGGGGTCCCAAGCCCAGTCCTGCTCACCCCTATTTTACAGAAAGGGAAACTGAGGCCCAAAGAGGGGAAAGTCACTTGTCGGGGTGTTTACTGCAGACTGCGTTGACAGAACCGGCTTTTTCGCAGCAGTCAGAGAGCAAACCTTCCCGGCCCACCAATAGCCCAGTTCCTGGAGACATTCTCAGCAACAATAAGCAGCATTTAAGTACTCCCCTCTATTGGGGGTCACTGCTCCAGCCAGTGGAGGCCCCGAAGACGGGCTGGAGATGTGTGACCTAACTTCTCACTTCTCTAAACCTTCCTCCATCAAGGAGGACCGATAATCCCTAATACACAGTTCTGTGAGGATTTGCCTTAAGCATGCAGGTTAAGCGGCTACTGAAGGCAGTCTTTGTGGACAGGTGATTTGGGAGCCTGGAGGAAAGGTTACCTGCATGCATGGGTGTGTGCGTGTGTGTTTACAATCTGTGAGAGGATTTTGGGAGCCTGGAGGTTTACCTGCGTGTGTGTGTGTGTGTGTAAGAATCCTTCTGTGAGAGGCCATCTGAGTATCTTAGGGGAGTAGGAGTGGACAGCAGCCTCTGGGCAGAAGGAAAAGCATGGAGAAAGTCACAGGCTGGTGAGATCCTGACCAATTCATGTGGGCCAAGGGAAGCCAGTTCCAGGCCCAGCTGGGGTCTGGGTTTTGTTCTTGCCTTTTCCTGCTACTCCAGCAAGCCGGGGGGACTGGGGCCAGTTTGCCCTTGCCATTGCCTAGATTCCCCAGTGAGCTGGGGGTGACTAACTCTCTTTCCAGCCCAAGGACAGAAGGTGGAACAGCCTGGCCAGCAGGGATCTGAAGCCCAGAGAGGGGTAGCCACTGGCTCCAGGTCACAGAGCAGGTCAGCGGCAGGGCCCAGGCCCCAGCCCCCAAACTCTGTCTCTGAAGAAATGCTCCACCCGAGAACATGAGCACTCTGGGCACTAATTCCTCCCGCAGGTGAAGTCCTTTTACCCGGGATCTCTTTTCATCTTCATTGTGCGTGTGGTCTATCAATGTCCTCGTCTTACTATGGGAAACTAAGGCTCAGAGAGGGACACAGGCCTGTCTGTGCAAGGCTCCAGAGCTGAGACAAAGACCAGGCAGACTTCCTTTGACTTTGCTTTGCTCAGTCTGGAGGTGGGACTGAAGGCCACCAGCAGGCCTCTCCACACCCTTGTGAGCACAGGGAGATATGAATGGGAAACTGGAGGCCACAGAGCTTTTGGCTCCTGGCTCCACTCATTTCTGCAGGGCAGGCATCTGTGTGTGTTGTGGGCCCCTCATTGGTTAAAATGGACCCTCCCAGCCCTGCCTGTGTAGTTCTAGAAGTGAGTCACAGGTTGGTGATGTTGGGGTCCAGGCCTGGACAAGCTGGTGTTGCTAACACAACCCTCAGGCCCTGCTGCAACCTGAGTCCCTGGGCCAGGCCGGAAGCTCAGGCCCTGGAACTGGACAAGTCACGGTTACTTCCTGCCTCAGCCACTTTCAGGCTGGAAGACTCTGGCCACCTCCTTCTCTGTAAAACAGAGACAACAGCACCTCCTTCCTGGGGTGGCAATTGGGATTTAATAAGACCTTAGCCTGAGGACTTGGCCTGGGTCCATCCTCGCATGACACAATGGCTCTATTTGTGGGTCTCCCCTAGTTTATGGGGACCTCCCATGTGTAGGGACCAAGTGTCACTTGGTTCAGGATCCAGCTGGATGCAGTACAGCTGGGACCAGAAGGGGCTGGGCCCCAGTGCTGATTGAAATCCAGGAATCTACCCCAGGTTTTCTGGCTGTCTTCTTCCCCACCTTTCAGAAACTGGTCCCAACATCAGGTCTGCGATGCTGCCCAGGCAGCTTGGTGACCCTCTCTGAACAAGCATACTCAGACTTTCCCTGGCTTCAGCTGGGCAACTCAGAGGAGAAAACTGGTCATCAGTGCCGGGCACGGTGGCTTATACCTGTAATCGCAGGACTTTGGGAGGCCGAAGCGGGTGGATCACCTGAGGTCAGGAGTTCAAGACCAGCCTGACCAACATGGAGAAACCCCATCTCTACTAAAACTACAAAAAAATTAGCAGAGCATGATGGCACATGCCTGTAAATCCCAGCTACTCACGAAGCTGAGGTAGGAGAATTGCTTGAACCCAGGGTTGTGATGAGCCGAAATCACGCCATTGAACTCCAGCCGTTGAACTCCGGTCTCAAGAAACAGAGAGAGAGAGAGAGAAAATGAGTCATCAGCTTCTGCCTCAACGGGGTAGGGAAGGGAGCTGCCATTTGCACCCACTTATTGCATGTCACCAGCCACACACTCTTCCCATTTAGTTGTCTCAGCTAAGTCATGGAGGCTCAGAGAGTAGTGCATTGCCTGGGGCTCACAGCTAATAAGTGGGGACTGGGGAGCGGAGCTGCTGAAATCCATGTCACTCTGAATCTTCCAGATCTGTATGCATTTCTCTAATTTTTGCCACATTGTCCCCTCTTTGTGACAGCCTGGGTCGCTGCTCCTGCCTCTCACTGGCCTCTGCCCCAAGCTGACTGCCCTTCATGAGACACCAGTTTGAGCTTCCAAATCAGCATCCCTCAGTCTCTCACCTGCCAAACCTTTCAATGGCTCCCCCATTGCCCTCAGAATAACAACTCCATCTCCAAGCATCCACAGTCTTTTAACCAAGTCCCTGGCCACCTCCCAGCTTCACTTCCTGTTCTCCCTACTGTATCCTCCCTGAGTTCACTGTTTACTGTGTCCCAGGGACAATGCCACACCTTGGCCACAAAGGTCCTTTCCTCACCTGGTGAGGTCACATACTTCCCTGAAAACTCAGTTACAGGTCGCCTTTTCTAGGTGACTTCTCAGTGTCCCAAAGTGGTAAAAAAAAAAAAAGAGAGAGAGGAAGAAAGGAAGATAGAAAAGAAAGAAAGAGAGAGAGGGAAGGAGTGAAGGAAGGAAAGAAGGAAGGAAGGATCTCTGAACACATTCTTTAACACCAAATAGCGAAAGGATTCTGAGGTTTAGTTTCCTGAAAGAGGTGGCTTCAGCCAGTGTTCACAACCTGGGGTAATTTTGCCCATCTCCACCCTCCCAAGACACAGTTTTGGTTTGTCACAGCTTTGGGTGGGAAGGTTGCCACTGGCATCTAGTAACAACCTACAATACAGGACAGGACGGCACCCATAACAAAGAATTATCCACTCCCAGATGTCAAGCCCCAGGGTTGAGAATCCCTGGTTTAGGCTGCCGTAGTTAGGTTTTAGAGACTGGCTGGTTCAAAGGTTTGCAGACTGTATTCTACAGAGATTCTGAGGCTCCTGGGGGTGAAATGAGAGGGAGTGGGTAGGGACCCCAGCCACATTCCTGGCAAGTGCCCTTTAGGTCAGTTTTTGAAGATAGAGTTCTGTGTTAGCTTTGCTTTGGAAAAATCCCTGGGAGCAGGGGGTGGTGCATAGAGAAAAGATTTGAACGCCATTACCCTGCTTTGATTTATAGGCCCAGAAAAGGAAAGTGAGTTCCCTGAAGTCACAGAGCAAATCTGAAGTACAACAGGGACCTAGATGCAGAGGCTTGGTGTCCACCACCTTTTGTACCCCCACTTAGCCACTATGGATAATCACTGATGCCCTGGGCTGAAAGTCAGGCACCTGGGGGTGCTAGTAAACTGTGACCCACATAACAGACCTGACCCACTGCTGCTTTTGATACAGCCTGCCAACTAAGAAGAATGGTTTCCACCTCTTTTTACTGGCTGAAGAAAATAAAAAGAGTATTTAATGGTCAGGCGCGGTGGCTTGCACCTGTAATCCTAGCACTTTGGGAGGCTGAGGAGGGTGGATCACTTGAGGTCAGGAGTTCTTGACCAGCCTGGCCAACATAGTGAAACGCTATTGCTCTACTAAAAATACAAAATTAGCTGGGCGTGGTGGTGGGCACCTGTAATCTCAGCTACTCAGGAGGCTGAGGCAGGAAAATTACTTGAAACTGGGAGGCAGAGGTTGCGGTAAGCTGGGACTGTGCCACTGCCCTCCAGCCTGGGCGACAGGGCAAGACTCTGTCTCAAAAATAAATAAATAAATAGGAATATTTCATTATGTGCAGATACTTTATGAAATTCAAATTGTAGCATTTAAAAGGCTTTACTGGAATGCAGTCTTTATATATGACTTTCATACTACACTGTTAGAATGAAATAGTTACAATAGAAACTGTACGGCCCACAAAGCCTAAACATTTGCTATCTAGACCTTTACAAAACATGTTTGCTGGCCCCTGCCCTAGGCTGTGACTCGGCCTGTCACTCATGTGCTGTGCAATCTTGGCTAAGCCACCATACCTCTCTGTGCCTCATCACTTAAAAAATAGGGATAAAACTTCTCTCCAGAGATGCGTGCCTCATTCGTTTTCTATTGCTACACAACAAATTATTATACCCTTAGCATTTTAAATAACATCTATTTATTATCTCCTATTTCTGTAGGTTAGAAGTCCAACTGGGGTCAACTGTGTAGGGTCTCTCAAAGTCAAAGGCAAGGTGTTGGCTGGGCTGGCCTCTTGTCCAGAGGCTCAGGGGAGGAATCTGCTTTCAAGGTAATCCAGGTTGTTGGCAGAATCCAGGTCCTTGTCATAGGAGTGAGGTCCTCATTTTCTTTCTGGCTGTCAGCCAGGGGGCCACTCTGTTCCCAGTGGCTGCCTGCTGGCCCCCTCCAACCCAGCAAGGGGAAACCTCCCTCAAGCCAAATCTGCCCCGTGCCTTGAATCTCTCTGACGGCCTTTTCTACTACTAGCCAAAGGAAACTCTCTGCTTTTAAAGGACTCCCATGATTAGATTAGACCCACCCATCTCCTTACCTTAAGGTCTGCTCATTAGTAACCTTAATTTCATCCGAAGAATTCCTCTAGCTGTGTCACATAATCAAAACATTAAC